CTTCACACGACGGGGGCGCGCACGTCCTCGGCGAATTTCCTGAACGATCAGCTCCGTTTTGGCGCGTCGGACGCCATCCTTCGCATGGAAAACGCCACCACCAACAAGTCTGGAGCGTTTGACCCACAGCGAACATGGATGCCGCGTCATGTGCCAGCTCCGCGCTCCACAACTCTGAGCCCAACACGAAAGAGAGAACGATTCAAATGCTGCAATCGACCAGAGCGTGTTGTGTGCCCTGGCGACGACACGAGAGAGTTTGTGACCTCCATTCGATTGGCATCATTGCGACAAAACACGCCCAGCGATGCGAGCAGCACGGAAGGACTGTTCCGCACACAAAGTGGGAGGTGAAAACCTCGGGAAACACCAAGGATGTATGGAAGGAGGAGACTTGCTTGACGTTCTTCTGCGCCAATCACTTCTACATCGATTCCCGCGCGTCGAGAGTGTACGGCACCGTGCTGCTGCTTTGGTCGAGATCACTATGGAACGCTGGGGATGGCGGGACAAGGATGGGGGTTGCCTGGCTAGACACACCGTGCTGCGTCGGGACGGCATGGACCTGAATTTCGAGACGGCGTTCCGCCAGCACGGCAGGCTGTTCGACAATGTGCATGGGAAACAACGTCGCTTGGAAGTCAAGGCGGGAAATGCGCAGGCATCGCACGTACTCGTCGCTCGGGATGTCGACCGTGATGTCGCTGTCTGCATCCAGCTCCAGCAAAGCATGTGCCCCAAGCAAACTCCACAGGCCACGCTTTTCAATTGCGGTTCTCGCACCGTCCGTGGACGAGTCTGTACGCCACAAACACGCATGAAAAACGCCTCAGTTTTCGCGTCGTACGTGAGGTTACGTTCACGTGGCCTTGCAACACAACGAAGCAGTCGTTCGTTGCCTGGCCTTCCGTCATCAACTCAGCATGAGGGCTCTCTTCCGTGCGAAACTCGAGCAAATGGCTTTGGCACAACAGGGCCGACACCGCGTCCACGTCCATCGGAGCGCCTACAGCCATCCATGACGTTCCACGCATGATGGAACGACAACGTTACCGTTGGCACCCGCCGTGCGAAACACAGGCTCCACCGCGACCAAGTGTTTGGCCAAAGCATCCGCCTGCACGGTCCAACGTGAGCCATGCCAGTCGTCGAGCGATGTCACCTCTGGTTTCGCTAGCTTTTTCGCATGCATGGTGTCCTGGAGCACGCGGCCGACTCCCGTATCGTAGCTGCGGTGGCTCAGTCGGTTCTTCCTCGTCACATCGGCATCGATTTGGTCGCTTTCGTCGTAGATATCGGCTTGCAAGATCTCTTCCACGATGTCTTCGAGGGTGACAATGCCTTTGGTCTCGTAGAACGGATCGCCCTACACAGAGGGTGCATCGTCAGCGCTGGCCCACAAACACCGCCGAACGCACGGGCCCAGCATTGTTGACGTCGTGCACCAAAGCAAGGTGGGTGCGGCCCATTTTGAACGCCTGCAGCACGTCGCCGAGCGTCGAGTCTGGCCATACGCGGTGCACGCCTCGCCCAAACACGTGGACAAAATGCAGCAGCGTCGTTGCTTCGGACGGGTCGGCAAAGATGAGATCCTTGACAAATATGAGCCCCACGATGTCGTTGATGTCCTTGTGGTAGACCGGGATGCGACTGTAGCCTTGTTGGTAAATGTGGCGGATCGTGGCTAGGTCCAACTTGGTCGTTGTCGGCAGCGAGTACACTTTGTCGATCGGCGTCATGACGGCGGCGACGACCTTGCTCTTGAAATGCAACGCGCCGCGCATGATGTCCGTCTCGTCGGGGTCCAACATGTTTTGCTTCACGTGAATATCGAGCATCTTGCCAATCTACCACCGCCACGTGAATCCGAGCTGTCGCGGTTTCGAGGTTGTTTACCTCGCGTTTGGAAAACAAGTTGCCGATTTCACGGCCGAGCAACCAGTCCAAACACAGCGCGATCGGCTTTGAAATGACGTAGAGCGCCACAACGAAGAACCACACGATCGGGAGCGACTTTGCGCCAATGTCTACAACGACATGGAGTTGGTTTCGTGGCTACATCGATGGTGGGACGCATACAAAGAGGATGGCGCGAGCACAGCGCTTGAGGAAGGAGTTCGCCAAACAGGACAAGCACCACGGTTGAAATGAGAAAGCCCGTGACGCCTGCGCAACGAGAAAAATGAGCTCGCGTGCGTGGCGGTCGAGCTGAGGATGGACAATACCGGATGTCATGTCGGCCAGCAGTATCGAGAGGATCGTACTGACAGACACGTTGGCAATGAGCAGCGACGTGAGGAGGAGGTGCCCGTCCTTGCGGACCTTTTGAATCTTCTTGGCATACTTTGCATTGTTTTTTTCGTCGTCCGTCGCGTGGGGGTCTTCTCCCGCGTCGACGACAATCTGCAACCCAAACTTGTCGAGGCACATGAGGCCAAGGGTAAGCCCCGAGAAGAGCGCCGCCAACAGCACGAGGAGGACGACCAATCCGACTTGAAACACTTTTTCTCCAGTGGGCAGCGCATCAAACGCGTTCGGGGCTGCATCTAAATGGCGGCGAACAAGAGCGTCCATGCACGGGGACTGCTTCAGTGGTGGAAACGTTTGAATCTGGCCGACGCACGCCGGAGGACCGCGGCATGTCGCATGGACGTCACCGCCAAAGTTGTCACCGTGCTGTCGATTTCGACGGATTTTCGGCGAAAATCTTCAAACTCTCTGCTTTTTCCGAAAAATCGTTCCAGGGAAAACGACCGACACTCTACGATAAAGTGGTTTGATTCGCTGGATTCAGAGCCAACGTAGTTTTCTAGCGTTCTGATTGGGTCTGGAAAGTGGAAGCAATTTCCCACCATGGCTTCGTTCAAAACGGAGGCCAACACCCCCTCGCGCCATCCTCGCCATCCTCCATGGGATATTGGCATGGACATTGAAAGGTGCATGAGGCAGCTCTTCACGTGCCTCAGCCGCTTGCTTCGTAAACGCAAGAATAGGGATGCTGCCATGGCTCGGGTTCTTGAACAATGCTCGAGTCGGGGATAATGTGACTAATTGTTCTGGACCACGGACCCTGTGTGCACGTGGCCGCCCGAATGAGAATGGGCCATGTGGCATCGACACATCGCGTTGCTTGTGAAAGCTGGGCAAACCTGCGCCACGAAAGGCTACCCTAGAGGACGTGATGTTCTTTAGTACAACGCCTGTGACGTACGTAGGTCGATGTCGGCTAAAGTCCCCGCAGACAAAGCTGCTCCTGCGCGATACGTTGAAACTTTGACTAGTGACACACCAAAATTTATGCTAACGTTAACGTTGAAGTATTCGCCATGTAGTAGGAGCCGTCGTACCCGCCAACGCATTCACCCTCACACGACGTTTTGCTCTAAACGCCACACGGGCGTTTTCGAATTCAAATGGTGCAATAGATTTACCATTCTCATAGAGTCGAGGTCGATGGGGCGACGGACGCAGATTGTTGCTGTAGTAAGGGCTTTTGCGTGGCGGGGTTCCGTTTGAAACAGTGTTTCATGCATCAAGGGAGTTGAAGCCGGGTCCAAGCAACGTTGTGTAAATGCGTCGTTGCTAACATGGCCCCTGCTGTGTTGTTGCATCCATGGATGCCAACACCTTGAGCGCCATCCTATTGCTACAGTTGACCAGTCGTCCCATCAAATCCTTCAGGCTGACGACGATGCATCGGCGTGACCTTTGGCAGCGATGAAGATCCAAGGTCAGGGTGCCAATGCTACAATAGAGAATCCAAGGCTAAAATTAAACGTTTATATAGTACTTAATACGAAAAACCAGGTTAGTTTGGCATATAGTTTCGGATATTTTTCCTGTTACCATTGCTATCGGCGGTCTAACGAGCAACGATTGGCTCGTTGTCGAGTACTCCATCCACCAGTCGTCGAGCAAGGTCGCGTGAAGCATTTGAACTTGCTTTGACCTTGGTCGGCCGCGATGACCCGTGTGCACACGCAGAGCCGCATCTTGCAGACGTTCCGAGCACTGGGCGTTGTCGCTTCCGACGTGCCTGTGGCGTATTCCCGCGCAGGATTCATCACGGCCGCGATTGGCAAAAGCTTCCAGGTGTACGAGACCGAGAAGCTGACGCCCGTGGCTGTGTCGTCCCAGCTGCCAAAGAAGATCCGCGCCATCGCGACAGTATTGCACAAGAACCGAACATTTTGCGCCGTCGGGCGGGACGTGCATGTGTTCGAGCGAGTCAAGGAAACCACGATTTTGCAAGGCCACTTGTTACCCATCACACAGCTCCTGGCCGTTGGCGACTATCTGTTTTCCATCGGCGAAGACCGTACCATGCGTGTGTGGAGCACCCAGTACGTCCTGTTGAATGATCTCCACGTTGATGGCCAAGACATGATGTTGTTGTGTCTTGTCCAGAACTCTGGAACTGTTTTCAACCGTCGAATTTGCCAACGACTTCACCCCCGTGGTGCTGTTGCATCCAGCAACGTACTTGAACAAAGTCGTGGTCGGGTCTTCGGAGGGCGAGCTGCAGCTGTGGAACGTGCGCACGCTGAAGTGTATTTACTCGTTCAAGGTTGACCGAAATACTCGGACGAATCTTGAATTGCCATGGCATTGGTTGTATAGGGATGGGGCTCCGAAGTGACCAGCGTCGCGCAGAGTCCGGCCGTCGATGTGGTCGCGATCGGGTTGGCAGATGGCCGCATTTTTGTCCACAATCTCAAGTTCGACGAGACTTTGATGCAGTTTGTCCAACCGACCGAAGGCCGCGTGACGTCGCTGTCATTTCGTAACGACGACAAGTCTCCGTGGTTGGCGTCTGGTACGTCCACGGCTCGAACAACCCTTGCAGGGGCCTAATCATGGCGTAGGCACGTCGTCGGGCGATGTGATCTTGTGGAATTTAGAAACCCAGCGATTGCAGGCGAAGATTCCGGTCGCCCATGACGCTGACGTCGCGACAGTGTTGTTTTTGCCGTCCGAGCCCGTCTTGCTCACGTCGTCCGGTGCGTGAACGATGGCTTCTTCCTGTGACGTCGTCCATGTTTCATCACCGGGCCAACAGGCGACAACAGCATCAAGCTGTGGATCTTCGACCAACTCGACCAAGCGGCGCGCCTCCTCAAGTCCCGGCAAGGCCACAAAGCGCCGCCGACCAAAATCCGGTACTATGGCCACGACATTCAAAAGGACGGCATGGTGTGCCAGATCCTGTCGGCGTCCCAGGACCGATCGTTTCGCATGTTTCACACGGCGCGCGAACAGCAGAGTGCGGAACTGAGTCAAGGCCCGTTGCTCAAAAAGGCCAAGCGTCACTACGACTTCAAGCTGTCCCCAATTGTTCAGATGGCTGCTATTGACACCCGTGAAAAGTACCGTCGGCTTTTGTGCGAGAAAGATCGGCTTCACGTGTGGCGCGACGTAGGGACTGGCCAAATGTTGTGACCTGTCATGCCAACGAACCGTCGGCCTATGTGTGGTCGATCAACCGCAAGGCTATCGCGAAGAAGGTGCTGCGACAAATCGACGACAACCTGTATGACGAAGCTGTCCATCACGGCTACAAGGCCACGGCCGTCGGCATCAGGTACCTTGCGCCGCTGGCTGCACTGTCCCTTTACCTACGTTGTTTTGGTGGTAGCGCGTGTGGAAACTTTGCTCTGGTCGGGTCTCGAGGCGGCGCCATTTATTTGTACAACATGCAATCGGGCGAAAAGCGTGGGTCGTTTCCGACAGCTGCGACCGCCGCGCCGAAACTCATCAAGGCGCTCACCATGCCGGGTGCGTCGTACGTCCAAAAACCGGACGACTCGCTCGGAGATAAACACACGGCTGCCGTCACGGGTGTCGTCGTCGACGCGTTGAACGAGACCGTCGTGTCCACTAGTTTGGACGGCCACGTCAAGTTTTGGTCGTTTGGTAGCCACAAGTTGGAAGGAACGTTGGACTTGAAAAGTCCCATCACGCATGTCGAGTTGCACAAAGAAAGCGGTCTGCTCGTCGTCGCGTGTGACGACTTTGTCCTGCGTGTTGTGGACATCACGACGAGGAAAATTGTCCGCCACCTGCGCGGCCATGCCCACCAGGTGACCGACGTGTGCTTCAGTCCGGACGCCCGATGGCTAGTCAGCAGCTCCGCTGACGGAAGCCTGCGTGTGTGGGACCTCCCCACGGGCAAATGCGTCGACTTTGTCAAATTCAAGCACGCTGTGACCAGCGTCACGATGTCGCCGACCGGCGAATTTATCGCGACGGCACACACGACGCAAGTCGGCATCTACCTGTGGGCGAACCGCGCGTACTTTGAAAACGTGTTTCTGGACAACGAGCCGACGGAACCCATTGTCATGGGCATGCCGCTGCCATTGAGCGAGGAAGAGATGCCAGTGGATGTCCAAGTCGATAGCACGGAAGCCGCCGACCCGACCGCAACTGTCGACGAGAACGCGTCGAATCCTGCTGCAGCGTACAAGTCCCCGATCGGCCCATCGACAATGGTCACTCTTTCGACAGCCCCGAAGGCGATGTGGCAGTCTCTGTTCCAGCTCGAACTCATCAAGAAGCGAAACAAGCCAAAAGAAGCGCCGAAAGCGCCGGAACAAGCGCCGTTTTTCTTGCCGACTATCCGCAAGGACGATGTCCATCCATCGTTCGAGAGCCACAACGTCCCGGCAGACAAGAAAGCGTCCAAAAAATCGTCCGACAATGCTGTCGTTGCGAAGACCGAGTCCGACGAGCCCATGGAGGGCTGGGGCGGCAATGACGACGAAGCGTGGGGTGATGACGACGACGACGTAGTGCCCGAAGACGATTCCAAGACGACAGGCTCTCGAATTGTCAAGTCGACGGGCTTGACGTCGTCGCGGTCCAAATTGGCCGTGTTGTTGGAAGCAGAATCCGCGGAAATGCACATGGAAGTGGAGGGCAGCTCTGCGTTGATATCGAAACCGCACCCGGTCCTCGAATACATTCAGAGTCTGTCGGCGTCTGCCGTCGACGTCGAGCTGAGTACGCTGTGCATGGGAGAGTTTGACGACGAAGGCAAGCAGCACTTGGACTGGTTCCTCGACTTTTTGATCACGATGGTGCACCGCCGCCAACACTTCCAAGTCATCCAAGTGTACTTGAACCGGTTCCTCAAGGTCCACGAAGACATTGTCGTCGCGGACGCGGCGTTGCTGGCGAAAGTCGAGACATTGCACACGTTCCAACAACAAGCGTGGGAACATTTGCAGCAACTCTTGCAACACAACTTGTGCTTGGTCCAGTACCTCAGTAAAATGCAAATGTAATAATTCACACGCGATCGATATATCTACTACGCACTGGGCATCACTCGATCGACACAACCGCGTCAAAGCAATGCCGCCGTGGACGGGCTGCGCCAGGATGCACAACTCTGCGGTGGCCACCGAGAGCGAGTGCAGGTGTCGCTCACGTCGTCAGAGCGAGTCTGCGTCCTCCAAGATTTGTGGTCATTGCTTCAGCGTGACAGAGTCGACCTGGCATGATGAGTTCGTCACGTTCATCGGGATGCCACGTTACACCTGGGACGATGGCAGTGCCTGTACTCGTTGCCACAGCCGTGGATCCGTGCCACGACCGTAATCCAACCACAGGACTATCACGAAATCCAATCGCCGCTCTCCGGCGCACTTCACGGTTCGAGTGCTCCAGTGGTCAGGGCCAACTTTCCTCCAAGCAACCTTGCCCATCAGCACATGACCGCCCTAAACACCCAGCCGCTCCTGGATCCTTCCGTGACACGTGGCGAGTTGACACAAAACGTTTGCAACACCGCGCTGCGATGAGCGATGGGAGCATCACAGCAACCATCTTCTCTAGCTCACCGTTGGAGCGTTCGCTCCACTTGACGCCGACGACATAGCGCCGACGCCGCGGAGAGACATGCTGTCGAGCGCACTTAAGAGGGCATACTCGTCCAGGACACGTAGTCACCAACATGACGAATCTAGCGCGAGGCCCGAGCTACGGCACCATGGAAGCGTCTGGCGCCGAGATGGCGGCAAGCAGCATTCGCGAAGGGACCAAAGTGTCGCCGGAAGGGAAGGCCGTCCGGGCGTCCCTTCAACCGAACCGGTTCAGCTTTAGGCGGTCACCTGTGCCGCCGTCGTTAGGAGTGCACGACCTGAACGCGAACAATCCGTTCGTTGCCTTGACGCCGTGGTCGTCCGCGTCGACGTACGAAGTGTGTAAGATGGTGTTGATGTGCATCCTTCTAGTTCCTTTGATTCGAATCGTGCTGTGTGTGCTGCTCTTCGTGCCGATTGTGATCCTGGCCACGATCACGACTGCCGGCCACCGTGGGTTCGACGCCGACGGCGTTCCTGTTCCGCTGAGCCCGTGGCGCCGCACGATCGGACTTCCCATCAAGTGGCTTATCCGCGCTGTCTTGTTTGTGTTGGGATACTATTATATCCCCGTGACAAAGCCGACCAAGCCGAGCCAAGTCAAGCCTCGAGTGATTGTGGCCAACCACAGCACTTACATCGACGGAATCTTCCTCGCGGCGTACACCCACGGCAGGTAGCGTCGACAGCTAACGTTCTACCGTCTGACAGATTTGCAAAGCGTGGCCATGATGAAGGAAGTCGCGGACTTGCCGTTGATCGGCCCTGTCATTCGGTCGTTGGACCCCATCTTGATCGAGCGGCGGTCCGAGCACGGGCGAAAGAAGGCGCTGGACGACATTCGCGAGCACATGGTGAACGAGGCGTTTCCGCCGCTTGTGATCTTTCCTCAGGGCTTGACGTGCAACCCCAACTTTATCACAAAGTTCAAGAAAGGAGCATTTACGGAAGGGCTGCCGGTGCAGCCAGGTGCATAACCTTCTCTCGCAATCGGCTTTATGCTTACGGCTGCTGATGCGAGGTAGTTCTGCTCCGGTACCCGTACAAGCACCTCGACATCAGCTGGTTCCCGTCGGTGGATATTCTTCCGCTCTTCTTCCGCCACTTGTGTCAATTCCGCATGTACCTTGAAGTGACGTACCTCGAGCCATACGTCCCCACCTCAGAAGAAATTGAAAACCCCGACTTGTACGCTGAAAACGTCCGGCAGGTGATGGCGTCGGCCCTGCCTGCCAAATGCACCAACCACGCATTCGAAGACGTTCGCCTCTTGCTGCAAGCTGGTGTCGGTGAATACGCGCGCCGCCACGTGATCAACCACACAACGGTGCGTGCGACCAAGTTTGTCTCGGACGAATTGGACAATATCGCCACGGGCAGTAGGTTGGAGAAGTGTACAAGTTGATGCACCTGACTCACGAAGAGATCGAAGGCCTTGTCCGCAACTTTGCCGCCATCGATACCGACCACGACGGGCGCATTGGACTGACCGAGTTGCAGACTCTCTTCGACGAGTCGCCTGGGTTTGTCGAACGGTACGCATCGAATACCTTTCCCAAAAACTCTGTGGACCGTTCGTTTCTTGATATTGTGCAGACTCTTTGACTTGCTAGACGCGGATCAAGACGGCCGCATCGACTTTCGAGAGCTGTGTCTGGGGCTGTCGTCGCTGAACCAGCCCAAGAAAGAAGAGTCCACCGAAGCGTATCGCACGCGCCTGTCGCGATTTGTGTTTTCACTCTACGACACGGACAACAGCGGCCGCATGTCCCGCCACGAACTTGTCGCAATGCTCAAGCAACTTCGGTCCAAAACGGGGCTGTTTGACCACGACGCAGCAGTCGACAACCTCGTCACGACGTTCGACCTCGATCTGGACGGCGAGATATCCGCCGACGAATTCCTCCGCCTGACGGAGCATCATCCCGAGTTGCTCGACCAAGTCGTTGATCGCCTCGCGGCCCTCAAGAAGCCCAGCAAAGCGTAGAAACAAATTGGTCCATTTGCACATTCGATTGCACTTGTATATGACCTTTTCATGTCCTGACGGGACGCCGACGGGTTATTCGATGGACACGAGGGCGTCACAGTAGAGAGGAACATGTGAGCAGGAATAGACCGACGCACATGCGGCCCCCACCTAGGCCAGCATGCCGGACATCTCGACAAACGAATGCTTGCTCAACGCGCGTGGATGAGTCGCAGCAGTCCTTATGACGTTAGACCAACGTGGTTTAGATGGCACAACGAAATAACTTGGAAAAGTCTGCGTCGTGCGACTGAATGTTGCGATATCCCAGCGTTCGAACATGCTGGCAAAACGCGTCGAGACGGGCGGGTGGAGGAATGGGACGAAGGTCCAAATTCCAATCGGCCAGCGCTTCATGGAGCAGCGGGACGTAAATGCCAGTTCGCAGGTCGAGGCCTTGGGACACGACAAACAGACACCGCATGATCGTGACTGTCGGAGAAACCTGGTCCAAGACAACCCTGGCAATCCATGAACACTCGCAACGACCTGTCGAGAGGACGCATTGTACCACGTCAACGTCTTGCTGTCGATGTTCTTGGAAGGGAGTTTTTCGTCGTCTGGGATGCTTTGACTAACCAGCACGTATCGGTTCGCATCTTGAAAGATCCGACAGAGACGAGTCGTCCCTGGCTGTGGATACAACGACCAGTTGGTCACGACATCGTACGTCATCGAGTCCGCGATGCTCTTTGTCATCTAGACATCCTCCGCCGTCAGGACAACTCAATCGAATGCGCTTCAGTGCACCTGGACGTCCAGATATTGCTTGGTTTTGTAGTGAACTTCCAGTTGTTCAGACGACGCGCCCGATTGAAAATATGACGTGGCTAATGGGAGTACAGCCTCCAGCGGTAGCTGAAGCTCTAGCTGATATCGCTGGACGTAGCTCAACGCGTCAAGACTTGTAGTGTCGACAGTAACGTCCGCCAGCCGCGAGTACGGTGTCCGATCTGGAAACGCGTACTTTTCCAGCAACTTGTCCGTGTTGTGGTACATGACTTGGGTGAGCCAATCGAGGCCGTGCCGCCTCGCGTCAGGATGCGCATGAAGCCGCACACGATCGAGGCGGAGGTTTGACGCGTGCCACGTACCGGTTGGTGCACTCTACAGCTCGACTTGAAAACCTTGGACAAGGCAACATGCATTGTACATACCTGAACCACCGACGAGTCGACAAAATCCCTCAACAGCACTCCCAAACAACTGTACTCGCGAACTTTCTTCTTGAGGTATCGGTTGTGATGCAAAGATTCGAATGCCTCGTCGCGTAGCCCTCTTGCTGTGTCATGCCATGGCAGTACACTGGACCGTGGCAAGCGGGAGAGTCGACAAAGTTCTGCTTCCAGTTCAAGAACACGCTCCTTCAGATATTTGTGAACTTGCTTATCCTGGCGGTAATAAACTTTCTTCTGTAGGTTGCGGCGCGACTTGCGCTCTTGCCGCGCATCCAGCATCGCCACCAGTGCAGCCGTATCCTCATCTCGGAACGTCACGTCCATGTTCAATTTGCCTTGAAAAGGAAAGTTGCATCGTTCACACTAATTATGACTTCGTGTCGCACACTAATCAAGACTTCCCATACTACGTAGTCCTCTATTCCTTCCAACTACTAAATGATCGAGAACTAGTAACACCAGCAGTGTACTAGTAGTAGGTCCTGGATGAATTCTAGTAATAGTAATAGTACAATGAATATACTAAAGATGTGATCATGGTGGCATGGTTTGCGTGGGCTAGAACTAGGAGGTCGAGACCAGCATTGTCATGAGCCCGACAAGGTCAATTAAATGTTTCGTGACCACGCTGAGTGGAGGTCAATGCACTGGCGCCAAGGCGACAGGATCCATCTGAATATGCAGCTCTGGCACAAAGCCGTCACCCGAGGCGAACTTCTTGCAACCACGTCGGCCAAGAGACTGAGGAGAATGTAACACCACCTTGTCCTTTGAAATGAGGGCACGATTTCCACTGTCCACCAAGTCATGAACAGCACACGTCGACTTGGCTGCTGCAGCAGCACGAACCAGCGTCACGCACTTCACCATTTGACTCACCGTGATTCGGATTCCATTCACCCGGCATACTCGAACCACCTTCACCACGGACAACGAGTCCCCACCCAGCTCAAAGAACGACGACTGCCGTCCGATCTCGGACAACGTCACGCCAAGGACGTCCGACCACACGCGGGCCATCTTGAGCTCCATGTCTGTCTCCAGCGGCTCCACACGGATCCGGACGTCCATGGCCTGCAACGCCTTCACGTCGATCTTGCCGTTTGAGTTTTGGGGCATGTCGTCCAGGCCGACCCACACGGCCGGGACCATGTACACTGGCAACTGGTCCGCCACGTACTGCCTCAATGCCTCGACGTCGACGGCGGCCGGCGAGAAGTACCCAACGAGGTGCGTCTTGTTCTGGACGACGGCTGCCGCCGACACGACGGACGGATGCTGCATCATGGCATTCGCGACCTCGTCCAGCTCGATGCGGTACCCTTTCAACTTGACCTGGCTGTCCTGTCGACCGGCGATCTCGAACTGTCCGTTGGGGTGAAGGCGACCCAAGTCCCCCGTCTTGTACATCCGGCCGCCACCAATCGGGTCGACCAGGAATCGCTCGTCCGTCGAGTCAGGAAGGTTGATGTAACCTGGAGACACACACAGTCCGCTCAGGTAAAACTCCCCAAGCGTCCCGAACGGCACTTGTCGGAGGTTGTGGTCGAGCACGTAGCACCTGACGTTGGGTAGGACCGGGCCAATGGTGATGGGATCCGCAGGCGTCATTCGACCGCCGTGCGACATGATGGCACATTCTGACGGCCCATACAGATTCAACAACACGACCTTGGGTGCCCATATGTCCTTCAAGGCCACCGGACACGCTTCTCCTGCCACGGCCACCACCTGCAATCGGGGGTACTGGGCTGGATCGCCAAGCAAGGACAGCGCCGTGGGGGTGCACGTGAGATTGTCCGCCGTCGACAGGGCCGTCAAATCGTCTTCGCTGCGCAATACCAATGTCGCGCCAAAGGACAAACTCTCCCACATGTCGGCTTGGAAGCCGTCGAATCCGATCGCCATCAGCTGAAACACACGACTCCCTTCCTTGATCTGGAGGATGTCGCGGAAGCGCTCCATGGAATTCACTGCGCTGTGGTGCAGCACAGGCACGCCTTTGGGCTTTCCGGTCGAGCCAGACGTGTACACAATGTATGCTTCGTCGAGCTTGGTGGCTCGGTGGCAAGGCGGCAGCTCGAACGCCTTCCCGTTCAACGGGTCAGTCACGTTGGCGACGATGACTGGCACTCCCAAGTTCATCTCGGTCAGCCTTTGGAGATGCCGATCCGACGTCACCACGGCACACGCGCCGGCATCCGCCACCATGAACGACAACCGCGCTGCAGGAAACGACACGTCAAGCGGCATCATGGCAGCTCCAGCCTTGAGCGTTGCCACCAGCCCAATCGGAAACTCCAAACAGCGGTCCATGATCACAGCCACTCGAGACCCGACGCAAACTCCCAAGTCAGCCAGCTCGCATGCCACCGCATTGGCGCGGGCGTCGAGCTCGCCATACGAGAGCCACTGGTCTTGGAATTCAACGGCGCGGACGTGGGGACGTAACCTTGCTCGGTCCTCAAACGCATGGTGCAGCAACTCAAACGGCAGTGTCGCGTCCGGTCCGCACGAAGCTGCCCGGAGCAGCGATGTCTGGGCTGGACTCAACGTCCACAAGTGCGACACCAAGGTCGTTCCATTCATTTCCCCGCAGATCTGACTCAACGTACCATCGAACTCCGTCAGCATCCAGTGAGCTTGTGTTCGCGACAAGAGGGTCGGCTTGTACAAGGCCAGTAGCTCCATCCTGGTCGGCGTGGGGGTCGCGATGATTTCGATAGTGTGGTCCGTGGACATCGTTTTCTTCGGCTGCTGTACTCGACGACGTGCCAAGCCAGGCGTGGGGACATTCTGGTACACGAGGAGCGAGTCGAACAAGTCGCCTTCCACGCCACTCCAGCGTTTCATGTCGATTAGACTTGCGTGGGAATGACTGGACACCGCACCGCGCTCCTGTCGAATGCGGTCCAATATCGCCGTCAGCGGCAAAGCGTCGTCAAATTGGACGCGACACGGCACGGTACTGACCAGCGGGCCCAAGATTCTAGACACGGAACGAGCTTCAGACAAATTTTGATCATGACGACACCAGTACCTGTCAACGTCGTGGACGGGAAGGTCGCGGTTGGCCACGACGTGGCCAAACACTACATCGTTCTGCCGAGTGTACTTGCGCACGGTGGCAGCCCAGGCGAACTTTACCAACTCGGCGACCGTCACATGGAGCGTCTGGGCCGTCTTGGACAAAGTCGACAGATTCGTTGTCGTGTCGATCGAAAGCGGTTCGTCCGTTTGGCTTCGCAGAGCATGTCCGTTGGTCCCGAGAGGCGATGGCACGACTCCAGACAGGTATGACCGCCAGAAGGCTTCGGTGGCGGACTTGTCTTGTGCCTCGTTGTAGTCCACCACATGGCGGAAACTCGGTCGATGTCCCAGCGGCCGTCCTTCCATGATGTCCGCCAAGTCGGACCACAACATCGACATGGACCATCCGTCGTACAAGCAGTGGTGGATGGTTAGCACACCATGCTGACCCTTGTCGGTCCGGACAACAGTCAGTCGGACAAACGAACTGTCCCCGACTTGAAAGCCGCGCGCGAGATCATGCTGCAGAAAGTCATCGATGGACGGTGCAGCCACAGCGGACACATCAGCATTGTGGGAGTCCGGCTGAATGACTTGGTACATGCCAGTCGAAGTCGTCACAAACGTTGTGCGCAGAATGTCGTGGTGTCGGACAAGTGATCGAAAGCCAGACTCGAAGGTGGCGACCTCGGCAGAATCCGCCAGCGGCACGACATTTTGCAGGACATACGCTTCGCGATGGCTCATCGAGGCGTACAGCATACCCATTTGCAGCGACGTCACAGGGTACACGATGCAATTCGACCAATTCGAAACGTGCGGCCACTCTGTCGCGATCGCGCCTTTCATGTCGTCCGGCAGCATGGCGCTCGGCCAGTCGACGCGGCGATGCGTGGTCGCAACTTTGGCGGCGCGACACAGCAGCATCTCCTTCGTCAACTGGGCTCCGGACAATGTCAACCCCATTGTTTTGCACGCTGCAACGACCCGCACCACGGACAACGAGTCCCCACCCAGCTCAAAGAACGACGACTGCCGTCCGATCTCGGACAACGTCACGCCAAGGACGTCCGACCACACGCGGGCCATCTTGAGCTCCATGTCTGTCTCCAGCGGCTCCACACGGATCCGGACGTCCATGGCCTGCAACGCCTTCACGTCGATCTTGCCGTTCGAGTTTTGGGGCATGTCGTCCAGGCCGACCCACACGGCCGGGACCATGTACACTGGCAACTGGTCCGCCACGTACTGCCTCAATGCCTCGACGTCGACGGCGGCCGGCGAGAAGTACCCAACGAGGTGCGTCTTGTTCTGGACGACGGCTGCCGCCGACACGACGGACGGATGCTGCATCATGGCATTCGCGACCTCGTCCAGCTCGATGCGGTACCCTTTCAACTTGACCTGGCTGTCCTGTCGACCAATATAGTGAACGTAGCCATTTGGAAGCATTTGGACTAAATCGCCTGTGCGGTACATTTTTCCATCGGGCAAGTTGAAAGGGTCGTCAAGGAATCGCGACGCTGTCATGAGAGGCAAGTTGGTGTATCCAGATGCCACGCAAACTCCGCCCAAGTACAATTCACCAAGAGCTCCCACTGGAACATGTCGTTGGTGTTCGTCGAGAATGTAGCTGTGGACGTTTGATATTGGCAGCCCAATCGTGACGGGCTCATCAGGAAGCAGTTGATGCATATGAGTCGTACATGAGCCTTCCGTCGGGCCATAGCAGTTGAACAGTTGGACATGGGGGCTCCAAAGGTCTTTCAACGTGGCTGGAATGGCTTCGCCCCCTACACAAACTGTTTTCAAGTTGGGGTAGTGCGAAGGTTTTCCCAGCTTGGACAGTCCAGTGGGAGTGATTGCCAGCACGTTGACCGTGGACAGCGATTCCATTCCATCGCGGTCGCGAAGGACAAGTGTGGCGCCATGGGAGAGTGTCGTCCAAATCTCCCACTGACACACGTCAAATCCGATTGCCAAAAACTGCATCACGCGCACTCCTTTGGCAATCCCAAGGTCCGAGGACCGGTAGTTCACCGAATTGACAATGCCGACATGCTTGACGCGAACGCCTTTGGGATTGCCAGTGGACCCCGACGTGTACACGATGTACGCTTCGTCGTGTCGTGATGCGAATTGGCGAGGAACAAATGCGTGGGCATCTCTGTCCATCGTTGATGAATCAAGGGAAAGAAGGTGAATGGATGCGTCCAATGTCTTGATCTTGTCGACGTATGGTTTCGTGGTCAAGACGATGCGAGCGTCTGCGTCGGACACCATGAAGGACAATCGAGCGGTCGGGAACGTGGCGTCCATTGGAATCGTAGACGCTCCCGTCTTGTGTGTCGCCAAGAGAGCAACGAGAAATTCCAAACAGCGCTCCATGATGACAGCCACACGATAACCAACCGTGACGCCCAAATCTTGTAGCTGTGCCGCCACGGAATTTGCTTGCGCATTGAGTTCGCCGTACGTCAGCCACTTGCCATCAAAATCGACTGCACGAAGACCTGGACTCTTCATTGCATGCACTTCGAACCCGTGGTGAACCAGCTCGTACGGCAAAGGAACGTCCGACCCGCGCGACGCGTCCGTGATACGCTTCATCTGAAGGGGACTCAACGGCCAGAGAGCCAAAGATGTCGGGACGGGGACAGTCTGCGCTAACAGAGCGTCGCAAACCTGGCACAGCGTATGGTCGAACTCGTTCAACAAAGCAAATGCATGGCTCCACGACATTTTGGCTGGCATGTAAAGTGCTCTGGTCGTCAACTCCATGTCCAAGTTGGGCTCCACAAGTAATTCAAATGGGTAACTTTGGGTCTGAAGCCCACACGCCGTCTTCCACGTCTCGATAACTTCGACTCCGGCAATCGAACGACGTCGTGGCCACTTTTGGTATCCAAAGAGAGTATCAAAGAGTTGTGTTGGCGTCACGGCACCGCACGATTTCGCCATATCGATCAAACAGCCGTGGGAATGTGCTGCCATGACGCGTTGGGCTGCTTGAAGAGCTTGAATTTTCAATGCCAACGGTGTATGCTCATCGAAACGGACTCTGCATGGCACAACACTAAGCAGCGGCCCTACGATTCTGTTCCGCAACGATGAGGCACACTGCAGCGCAATGCATTCGAATCACGTACCTGTCCACGTCCTGCACGGGTATACCTCGATTAGCCATGACTTGGCCAAAGACCACGTCGTTCTGCCGAGTAAACTTGCGCAGCGTGGCAGCCCATGCGAATTTCGTCAATTCGGCAATGCTTACTCCGGATCGAGATGCGGCTTGAGACAATTGGTGTGGTGCCACAGCATTCTTGAGCACCAATGGAGATGGAGGCACGTCGGTGGCTGTTGGAGGGGCAAACTGAAGTGCGCATGGGGTGTATCCATCGAGATAGCCAGACCAAAAAGCCGCCGACGCCCCTTTGTCCTGCGCCTCGATGTAGTCGACAACATTTCGAAAGGAAGGGCGAGGGGGTACCGCTTGATGGTCCATGACGTTGATCAAGTCAGACAGAAACAAATCGATAGACCAACCGTCAATCAAGGCGTGGTGGACAGTGATCACTCCATAAATGTCTGCCGCAGATTGAACAATGGCCAAGCGAATGAACGAGGGGTTGTCGATGCAAAATCCCCGCGCCAGGTCGGTTTGGAGGTATTCGTCCAACAACATTTTGTGAGTACTCACCGTCGTCTTTGACGATCGTGTCGCTGGAAAGACCTGGAACATGCCATGCACGGACGTGATAAATGCGGCTTGAAATATGTCATGCTGACCGACCAAACTGCGAAATGCTGCCTCCAACGACCGTGGCGTCACTGGCGCAGACAGTTTTAGCGTTACTTGGAGTACGCTTGCGCTCGGGTTGACTGTCGTGGCTGCCAACAAACTTCGTTGCATCGCCGTCATTGGATACATGACCGAACCCACGCCGGCGCTTTTGTCCATGGAGTCGGCCAAGGCCTTGTCCAAGGCAGCAGTCGGCCATTTTCGCATGGTTGTTGCCTTGACTGAGCTAGCAACATGTCGAGGGGTCGGATCGCGCATGAATTGCGCCACTGTAAGGTTCACGCCGAGAGATTTGCATTCTGCCACGACACGGATTGCAGATATTGAGTCGCCACCAAGTTCAAAGAAGGATGTCTTGCCGCTGATCAAAGCCTCGTCTTTGTTCAGTACATGGGCCCAAATCTTCGCAACTTGACGCTCCATGTCGGACATCACTGAACTGCCAGTAGGCTCGTTTAACTGCACGAAATTGCAGACTCGAAAGACTTGCATGTGGCGATGAAGCAAGAACGGCGTGATACGGCCAGGTCCAAAGTCCAAGATGCAGCTCACACCAGGTAGATTTTGCAACGTGTTGGTAGCTACGGGCCAATGAACCACGTCGACGAGTTGCATCTGAATAATCGTGGGGACGATGCCGGAGCATGACTGAAGATTGAGTCCTTGGTTGGTGGTGCCAATGACAGGAAAATTCATGGCAGCGTTTGGGACGACCAGTTGCAGGCGGTTGGCGTCGGCCACCACCAAACTTTGAGCTGGGAGCATCAAGTGGCTGTGAAAAGGGCACGACACGGACAGGAAATCCAGTCGAAAGTTGTCCGAGGTGGTCCAAAGCTCTTGACCTTCTACAGTGGCGGCGAAAACTCGCAACGACGGAGGGAATCCAGTGACGACAACTGCCGACTCATCGTTCACAAGCGACACTTGCACCACATCACCGTGTCGAACGTTGAAGTCGTCGACTAGTGAACTCACCCTTGACTCCGGTAGACCACGCACCAAAAGCATAGAAGTCACAGCGTTGTCGATGCATGGTGCTGAAGCATGCAGTGAATTGAACACAGTTTGGGCACGCACCCCTTGCCAAAACATGAGCCGGACGTACTGCAGGCCATGTTGGAGCAGTTCGGTGGTCGTGGTGACTGACGCAAGCAACACTGCCGCGGCCAAGCCTTGACTGTGACCGGTCGCTCCTCGAAGTCGGGGGAGAAGCAACTCATGCGAAAGTCCTCTTACTTCGAGGAACGCAACGTACGTGGCCACCTGGGTCAGAAATATCAACGGATAACTCACAGGGGCTGCCATCAGCGCCAGTCTGGGCGGGCGCGACGTTGGATCTTTCGTCCACAAGAACGGATGGATGCACGAAAACGCAGTTCCTTTCGCTTCGTCCTCCAACGTCGTTTGGGCGAGTTGTACAAACTGTCCCGCCGACAAAGACGAGTGTACGACGTGAGTGAGTTCGTCGATATATTCACAGCCTTGGCCTCCGAACAGGACTGCAAGCCCCAACTGGTCGTCCTCGAGGACATTTTGCAAAGAGTCTTGAGTTGTCATGAGGGGATTCGTTAAGATGGCGGAGGGTATTTCGGACGTGCAAAATTGGGCAATGTGAACCACGGCATGGAACCCACCATGGCATTGATGTGAGCTACAGTATCGCTGAGTTTGAACATTGAAGGTGACTCACACATTCAACGCACCAAGGCGCCGACTGCACTGCTTGGCACGAACGAGACCAGAGCGCAACGGCGATGGGTCACGCCAAACTGCGACCACATATTACGCCACATCATGTTGTCACGTAGTCGAAACAAGCCATGATCTCTGAAGCGCTTTAAAAACGGGGTATTTCTCAAGATCGTCCAACGAGTGGAATATTTCTTCGTCCGAGTTGAACGTTCATAAGATTTTTTTCATTCCAAAGAGTCCACCACGGCATGACTGGCTAAAAGTATCATGTCCATAAACACCTTCTAAGTCCCAGGGGGTTTTAGTCCTCTCCATTCCAGTTCCAGGATGTCAGCGCCCCCAGCAACCACTGACCGCACCCGCCGTCCACGACGCCACACGGAGTTCGACAGCCACCAAGCGGTATGACCCAGCAACTTTCGATCTATACTCATGTACACCCTGTCCATCATGCTAGGCATGCAACGTCCTAGAGCACATGCCTCTTTTAGCCAATCATACCGCGGTGGACGATTTCGAATAGAAAACGCCTCACGAACGTTCAACTTGGCGATCGTGAGGAAAATTTCCACTCGTTGGACGATCTTCAGGAATACCCTTGAAAACGTATAGTTCACCCATGTCGAGGGGTCGCATGATGTAAGGAGGTAAAAAGAACGATTTCTGTAGCTTTACAAATCGGGTTTAAGGTTTTAGTCATTAAAACCCGATTCCTGGGTATTAAAGCCATGGTATTGTCCTTTTTGTCAAAAACTGGACCTGACTGGCGATTTGCGAAATCGATCGATCAATCCATGTATATTGGCTACAATATAGTATACAGCAATCAAATTGAATTCCCAAATGACGACCATCGGTATTGCCGAATGATCGTCGATGTCGTTCACCGGCAGCATGCATCAAGAAACACCGTGATGCATGCATTGTACGCATACTATTACCTTGGCATGAAGCGGTCGGACGTGGCGCGCATTTTCCACAAGTCTCTGTCCACAGTGGCCGCATGGATTCGGCAATACGAAGAAACGCAAGATTACGGCAGGAAGCCCACATCGCGCGACCGCAAGTTCACCGACGCTCATCGTACATGGCTTGTAAGCTACTTCAAACGACACCCAATGTCATTTCTGGACGAGGCAAAGAGGGCCTTTGAGCACGAGTTCAAGATGTATATCTCAATCTTCTCTGCGTGGAACATCATACACAGCCATGGCCTGACCTGGAAGACATTGGAGCGACGAGCATTGCACATCAAGCAAGATGACATTCAACGATATTTCACTGAGCTTGCCCTACTCGACTGGTCCCACCTCAACATCCAGTTCCTCGATGAAGTCAGTTTTGACTCCAAGGGGATGCTTCGAAAGCGAGGGTATGCAATGAAAGGCAGCAAGCTTTGTTTTCGTGGCGAGTTCCAACGCAAACCCCGTGTGTCGCTCTTGTGCTTCTTGGATGTTACCGGGATCGTTGAGGTGTTCGACACGGTGGGGACTTTTGATCGGACGAAATTCGTTGAGTTCTGTACCCGCCATGCCGACAACGTGATGCCTTACCCTGGCCGTGGTTCGATTTGGATCTTGGACGGAGCCAGTATTCATTGCCACCCATCGATCATCTACTATCTCCGTGGTCG